AAATCAAATCGCACTTCACGCATGGGGATGCATGGAATACCTGTGCATCCCCGTGTGGAAAAACACTCCCCTGCATGGCTGTATGATATCATCCTGTGTATATACATCCTGTGTGAACAAGGCCTAAACCAGAAAATAGAGTTGTCACCTACTGGCTGTACACTGTGGTACAAGTGTATAAAAAAGGAATGGCAAACAGAATTCTGTTTAAACTTTGCTATTAAAGCCACCAGTCAAGCATGCTTTTGCTACAGCAACCTTTCACATAATAGGTCAAGGGTGCTCAACCTTTTGAAGAGCGAGGGTCACTTAAGTTACTTGGTAACCGCTCACAGGCCGTAAATGTAAACAAGCCCTTACTGTCCCCTGCAGATTTTGAAAGTTTGCCCACTTACAAAGCAATGAAGAGTCTATAATTTTTATCATAGGTGTATTTTAAATGATAGAGACAGAATATCAACCAAAATGCCAGAAAAAAAAAAAAAACCACACGATACAAATGTTACAAATTGAGTTGCAGTTTAGTGAGCAAAATAAGTATTTGATTCCTTACCAACCAATAATAATTCTGACTGCCTTAGACTGGCTATGTGCTCATGTGGTACACAGATTATTCCTGTCAATTTAGGAAGGCGCTCTTAACGACAACTCATTTTGTGTATAAAAGACACCTGTCCACAGAATCTCTTTCTTCCATTCAAACCTCACCAAGGACAAGATCAGAGAGCTGTCAAAGGATGTGGGGACAAGATTGTAGACCTGCACAAGGCTGGAATAGGCTGCAAGACCATCAGCAAGAAGCTTTGTGAGATGGAGACAACTGTTAGAGCGATTATTCGCAAATGGAAGAAATACAAAATAATTATCATTCGCCGTCGGTCTGGAGATCCGTGCGAGATTTTGCCTCATGGGGTAAGGATGATCATGAAAAAAAGTGAGGGATCAGCCCAGAACTACACGGGAGGAGCTTGAGAATGATCTCAAAACAGCTGGGACCATAGTCACCAAACAAACCATTGGTAACACAATATACCGCCATGGATTTAAATCCTGCAGCACCCGCAAAGTCCCCCTCTTCAAGAAGGCACATGTACAGGCCCGTCTGAAGTTTACCAATGAACATCTAAATGATTCAGAGAATGATTGGGAGAAAGTGCTCTGGTGAGATGAGACCAAAATTGAGCTGCTTGGCATTAACTCGACTCGCCGTGTTGGAGGAAGAAAAATGCTGACTATGACCCTAAGAACACCATCCCTACAGTTAAGAACGGAGGTGGAAACATTATACTTTGGAGCCGTTTCTTTGCTAAAGGTACAGTCCGACTTTGCTGCATTGAGGGACCAATGGACGGGGTCATGTATTGTAAAACCTTGGATGAGAACCGTCTTCCCTCAGCCAGAACACTGAAAACAGGTCATGGATGGGTCTTTCAGCATGACAATGACCCAAAACATATCACCAAGGCAATAAAGGAGTGGCTCAAGAAAAAGTACATTAAGGTCATGGAGTGGCCTACCCAGTCTCCAGACCTTAATTCTATAGAAATTTATGGACGGAGCTGAAACTTCAAGTAGCCAAGCAACAGCCAAGAAACCTTAAGGATTTAGAGAAGATCTGTAAGAAAGAGGACCAAAATCCCTCCTGAGATGTGTGCAAACCTGGTAACCAACTACAAGAAACTTCTTACCTCTGTGCTCGCCAACAAGGGTTTCTCCATCAAGTACTAAGTAATGTTTTGCTTGGGGACAAAATACTTCTTTTACTCACAAATGATGGACACAAATATTGGATTTATTGCTAAAATACACAATATGGACATCACATTACCGTGGGGTCTTGGACAAGATTAAGTGTCCGGTGGGCCCAAAACATATTATCCATCTCCTGCACCCTACTGTGAGGTGATGTCCATAATGTGGATTTACCAATAAAACTCATGAAGAGTGCAGCCATCCAGTATGTAAGTGTGCTAAGTAGTTGCTGGCGGGCCAGGCATGCACCTTCTAGAGGAGCTTTGCAGTGAGAAACAAGCAGGTGAGTGGCAGCCTAGAGCAGTGTGCAGTCTTATGTATTTGTACAATGATTATCTCTAGTGAACATCTACATTTCTATCCACTAGAGTTTAGAATGATAAAGTTTATTACCTGTTCAAAGACAATCCCAACAATTTCAGAGATAATGATGCAAACTAATTACTGCAGAGCCTTTCGCTACTCTGCTCAAAAGAAAATCTCCCAGGCAGCTTTTTTCTACTAAGCCAATTAGTATAACAGAACAATCACACTAACAATGATACCACAATTATTTTTTCAATATTGTATAGGGACATCTGCTTTTCAAAATTCTGCAGTCTTAATAAGATGGCCAACTCCTTGTAGTTATGCTGCTTTGAAACAAGAGGTTAACTACTTAATTTAAATAAATACACTGTGATGGAGAAGAAACTATATCAAAATATTAAATAGGTTCTGAAACTTGTACCACTTGTACAGGGAAAATAATCATGTTCCCAATCTAGGACTGAAACTGCAAATTAAGCTGTAAGGAAATCTAAGATGAATTATACACCAGAGATGGATATTTATTGAAGTACTTGAGGCCATCTAACACTGCTTGTCTTACTGGATATCAGAGTGCGGTCCATCTTTGTGCTGTGGGCCATGGCCGAGTGTGTAGCCGGTCAGTGTGCTCTGTGTGTTCTTCAACAGTGTTTATGTGTGGCTCATTTCCTGTCCTGCCCTTACCTGGATGCCTCTGTCTACAACAGTTTACTCTCATCCTCCCTTGATACACTTACTCCTCTAAATACACACAGAATTATGCCCTGACTGCTACAGCGTTGGTAAACTGATGACACCAGAAATCTCAAGAGGTGCAGCCGTGTTCATGAGCGACTGTGGTGTAAAACAAATTCCCTGCAAAAGTTCACCATATACAAATCTGCCACCCCTAAAGTACAATTCCTCCCTCCATGCCACCAAGCCAACTTATTTAATCACTCTCATTAATATTCTCTCATGTAGTCCTCGTTGGCCTCTTTCTACCTATACAGTAACTCTCTACTATGTCCCCCACTACCTCCACCCACTAACTTAGTCACTGCCTAGGAGATTGCCATTCACTTCAAAAAACAGATTGATACAATTCATGAGGACATCTGCACTGTACAGCTATCTACCCCACTTAACATACTCTGTCTTACAGCACAATTGATACTTTCCTTTTTTGACTCTGCTACTACAGAAGAGGTCACCAAACTTTTCTCAGATTTCTGCCTAACCATCTGTCCTGTGGACCCTGTTCCCTCACAGGTACTATAGTCACCCTCTTGTTCTACCCTATACTCTCTCGCTCGCATCCTCAATCTCTTCCTTTCTACTGGCACCCTCTAAAGCATGCACTGGTCACCCCCATACTTAAAGACTTCACTGGACCCTACCAGCCTGAACAACTTAAGACACATCTCCTTACTTCCATTTATTTCAAAACGTCCAGAAAACTTAGCTTACAACCTTTTAAACTCCTACCTCACTGACAACCTTACTGACCACCCAGAACAATCTTTTATCAACATGGAGGAACCCCTGAAAAAACATTCTAGACTCAGGCAACCCCTGCTAATAATGACTATATCAACAGTTCACTGGGGTGATGGTCATCTAGAAGAATGCTTTTCACGTTTGTGGTCATTGAGATGATGCCCCCACCCTTACAGATAGCTAAAAAGATCAGTGTTGAGAATGGGTCCTCATCTGAGAGACAGAAGTTGCTCACTGATCATGGCTGTAGACTAGCAACATCTGACAAAATCCTGGTTGAGAAAGGCTGTCTTACAGGCTTGTTTTGCTTGCAGCACTCAAAAGAAGCTGCCCTACTAAAATTCACTAACAATTTAATAACTGCTATTCTTCTGTCAGTTTGGGCTACAATCTTTCTTGGTTTACTGGACCTTGGCTTGGTATGAAGAGATCCCCAAACTTTCCACTTCTTAATAAGTGATTGAACAGTATTGACTGAAATATTCAAGGCTTTGGATATCTTTCTAATCTTTATAAAGTTCCATTACTTTGTTACTCAGTTCTATTGACAGTTCTTTTCTGCTCCCCAAAGCTCAGTATCTAGCCTGTTCAGTGCATCCACGTGAGATCTAACAAACTCATTGACTATTTATACACAGACACTAACTGAAATTTAAAAAGCCACACATGTGGGAAATTAACCTTTTTTGCCACTTTAACCTCTGTGTGTCACCTACTGACCTGTATGTGTCTCTACTAAGGTCAAACATTCCAGTGTTTGTAAACTTTTGATCAGGGCCATTTGTGTGATTTCTATTAAGATTTGAAAAGGAGTCAAAAAACTTTGTGATAGTAAATGGCTTCATATGATCACTATCCTTAAATAAAATACATTTTTTGGCATTATCAGTCATATTTTCAATATAAATGCCCACATTCCACAATTTCTGCCAGGGTATGCAAACATTTGAGCACAATTGTATTACAGTTTGGGGTTTAATACCACTTTAAGAGCACCAATGGGCTCAATACACTTTTCTTGCCCCGAGCAACATTGTGTGTTTGGATTGTATACAGAAATGGTGCACAGACAAGGGCCCCCTTTTTGGGGCTAACCAGTTAGCCATTTTAAGGGCTGGGCAGAAAGATTTTTTGTCTAAGTATACATTACTAGGTTCTTGATATTACCATTATGTCCCAGAAAATATTCTTCTGTTTGCCTCTCTGATTTAGTCTCATCTTGTTGACCTAACTCATGGGCTAGGCATCAACTACTATGCCCAAAAGTCAGCATCAGTAACAAAAACAAAATGATAAATGATAAAATAATAATAGCATGATTATTAATAATATTAATAAAATATTATTAATAACATAACTTTTAAAAAGTTTACATAGGCTAACACATTTTATAGTGTAAATCCTCTTTACAGCTCTCCCAGTGCGTTATATCCAGAATACAAAATATTGAAAAAAATTACCTCATCTGGACTTGCTATAATGTTAACACTAACAACTTGGTCAGAGATGACAGACTCTGTATGTATTCTGTTCAGACGGCTTCGCAATTCAGAATTTTGGTTCAGGGCCTTCAAGAAAAGAAAAAAAAAAAAGGAAAAACTAACAAAAAAAAAAACGATTACATGATTTTCCTCAAGATAAATTTGTAAAAAATACTTAATTATCCAAAAACAGGAAAGGTCGAGAGATAAAAGGTAATTAAAGGTGAACTCCGGGAAAAACATCTAAGTACAGAGATGAAATACAAAAAGGGAGTTGTTTTGCCTGCCAAAAGATTTGTATTTTGATTTATTCAAACCTGAGATTTACACAGTCCTGCCACACAACACAGCCAGGCAACTGGCACTGCTTTCTCTGTCATATTTCAGGACTGCAGCTGCGGCTCCTCACCCCTAGTCAGTGATTGGACAGTAAAAGATTAGCAGCAGAATTAGGAAGTCAGCCCTCTGTTAAATTCCACACCTGTCAGCAAATTTGCACACAGCTCATCTGATTGGTTTCCCCATCTCTCAGTCAGACTGCTGTTGTACAGAGGATTACAAAAGACTGACACCACATCAGATTCTGGTACTTATACCAATTTCATCTAACAGAAAAAAACACATATAATGGTTTAATTTGGCATACAAAGCCACATTAATGTGTGTTAGGCTGGCCATACATGGATTGAAATTCGTCCTGTTCAGCAGGGGCTGGGCAAATTTCAATGTATGGGCACTGTGGTTGTCCAGAAATCGATCTATCGATTGACTTTCTGTACAACCGCCCTGTCGGGTTTTCCCTGGATCAAATGCAATAGCTCAGTGGGGAGTAAGATATGGATGACAACTCATTATGAGATCTGCTTTTCGGCAGACCCTGTGCCGCTGCCCCACTGTGCGACATCTGGACATCTATAGAAAGTCACCACGTTCAACTCTCTCCTTATAGAAAACTTAGCACTAGCCAGATATAAAGCAGCCCATAGATGAGTCTGTATTTTTTCATTTAACCAGCAGGTTGAACAAAAAAACAAAACAAACAAAAAACGTACTCGATTCCCCCATCCACACACTCGATGTGAATGGGAGAAATAAAGTACTATTTTTTTTCATTCAGCACACTGGATGAATACAGTGGCACAGGGTCTGTAGAAACGCAGATTTCATAATGTGTTGTCATCTAAATCATACTCTCCGCTGAGCTACTGCATGTGAGCCAGGGAAAATCTGACAGGGCGGTTCTACAAAAAGTCCAATCGGTAGATCAGTTTCAGATCAGTTGATCGGTAGATCAACCACAGTGCCCATACATGGATTGAAATTTTCCGATCCCCTGCTGAACCAGAAGAATTTTGATCCATGTATGACCAGCTTAACATCCACATCATACTATGCAGCCATGTACAGTGCTGTGAAAAAGTATTTGGCCCCTTCCTGTTTTTTTCTTTTTTTTCCCCATATTTATCATTAAACAAATTTCAAATATTACACACAGATAACAAAAGTAAATACAAAATGCAGTTTTTAAATGAGCATTTCATTTATTAAGGGAAAAAAGCTGTCCTATCTTGCCTGGCGCCCTAAACCTAATAACTTGTTGTTCCACCCTGGTTGGTAACAACTGCAATCAAGTGTTTGCGGTAACTGGCAATGAGCCTGTGGAGGAACGTTGGTCCATTTGTCTTTGCAACATTGTTTTAATTCAGCCACATTGGAGGATTTCAGAGCATGAACAGCCTGTTAAGGGTCATGCATAAGCATCTCAATTGGATTGAAGCCCAGACTTTGACTAGGCTACTCCAAAACCCTAATTTTTTTTCTTTTGGGCCATTAAGAGGTAGACTTGCTGGTGTGTTTTGGATCATTGTCCTGCTGCATAACCCAAGGGGACCTGAGGTCACAAACTGATGGCTGGACATTATCCTTCGTGATTTTCCGGTAGAGTGCAAATTCATGGTTCCATTAATTATGGCAAGTTGTCCAGGTCCTGAAGCTGCAAAACAGCCCCAGACCATCACACTACCACCATGTTTTACTGTTGGTATGATATTCTATTTATGAAAGCCGTGTTAGCTTTACCCCAGATGTAATGGGGGACACACACCTTCCAAAAAGTTCTCATCAGAGCAGAGGTGCAGAGCAACCACGTGCAGTGCATTCATGCAGAAATTATAGAGTTAAAATGGCAGTGAGGAGGTGTTGCATCACTTCCTCACTGCCTGTCAAGTGCCTCTGTAAAGCGATTTGAACATGGATCGCTTTTCAGAGGAGGGGCAGTTTAGATACCAGTGTAAACCTAGCTGCAGTCTTTAAAGCATATCCTGCAATCCTGTTAAATGCCCTTGCATGCTAGGTTCAGCCTGTGCCCTGGAGTTTACCTTCTGCTGATGTTGAGATTAAAGCATAACTCAGGTAATGGATATTCAAATATTTACATATTCTTAAAGTGTTACTAAACCCAGGACCCTGCATTCACTATATCTGGTCTCCCACAGTACACAGAACAAGAAAATTCAATTATTTTGGCAAATATAAAAACTGCTAAATACCTTTTCTCATCAGCAGTATATAGCAGTCTTGTTAATTGTATCAGTGTCCAGAAGAGTACTAATTAAAGCTTGTAGGAGGAATTTTCATTTTCCCCTGATTGTCCTATGAGGCTGCAAAACCCTACCCTCTGTCTGGACAGCGCTGACTGGCCCTGTGCTGATTGCATGCATTATCCCAAGAAAAAAAAACTCTCAAAATGAGCATGTGCAACTTGCCCTTAAGGCTCTGTTCTATCAGCAGATGGATTGGGGACAGTAGAAGGGGAGGGTCAGAGAAGACAGGATCAAACATCCTTTTTTCACAGGATTAACCCCTTAGGTTTCACAGTAATTTTTTTTTTCATATCCACACACAAACGTTTTGTCTTTCATTTCTATTTCAAACTGAATGGATTGTGAGAGTTTTCCTACAGTTGTCACTGTCAAAAGCCAGAAATCCAGTGGGATTTAGAAGCTCTGGCATTTTACAGTTGAATGACAGAAAGTGGAACATAATCTTAATTTGTGCAAAAGTCAAGATTCAATTCACAAGGGATGAAGGCTAATACAGGTACTTGCAAAACTATGGGCTGACATTTCTACAGCACAGCGGTTACCTTAGTGATGTCTTAAGCCAGGTCAGGTTCACTTTAACCACTTGATGACTGGGCTATAGCCGAATGACGGCTACAGCGTGGTCGTCTAGTTCTCAGAGGATGTCATATGACGTCCTTCAGAGCCGCGCCTCCCCTGGGGTGTCCTTTGGACACAGCTGATCAATCGACATGGTAAAGGGCCAATCACAGCACCCTTTTACCACGTGATCAGCTGTTTCCAATGACGCAGCTGATCACATTGTAAACACAGTTGCCGGTTATTGGTTGCACTTTCCTCATGCTGTCACAGCGTGGGGAGAGAGGAGAGCTGGTAATCGGCAATTGTATTTACACATCAGAGGACATCTGTGCAGTCCCAACAGTGTCCACCAGTGCAATCCCATCAGTGTCCATTAGTGCTGCCAGTCAGTGTTCATGAGTGGAGTCCCAACAATGTCCATCAATGCCGCCAGTGTCCATCAGTGCTACCAGTCAGTGCTCATCAGCGTCGTCAGTAAGTGCCCATCAGTGCCATATCAGTGTAGCCTTATCAGTGCCTCCTGGTCAGTGCCCATCAGTGCACCCTATCCATGCTGCCTATCCGTGCAGCCTGATCACTGCTGCCTCATCAGTACCCATTAGTGCAGCCTATCAGTGCCCATCAGTGCAGCCTTCATCAGTGAAGAAGAAAAATTACCTGTTTGCTAAATTTAATAACCAAAACTAAGAAAAAAAATATATTTTTCAAAATTTGTGGCCTTTTTTTAGTTTGTTTAGCAAAAAATAAACAGCTCAGTGGTGAGTAAACACCACAAAAAGAAAGTTCTATATGTCTTAACAAAATAACAATTTCATTTGGGTACAGTGTTGCATGGCCACGTAATAGTCATTCAAAATGCGACAGAACTGAAAGCTGAAAATTGTCCTGGGCAGAAAGGGGATGAAAGTGCCCGGTAGGCAAGTGGTTAAACCTTAGCAATCTATTAGGGGGTCTGTTTTCCTGCCTAGATAAACTCCTCTAAAACTGTAGAAACCAATAAGATACATTTACAGTCTGTACATAAACGTTCAGTCACTTAGCGAACAGGCACACTGAAGCAACAGCTGCATGTTAAACTAGGTGCAATGTTTCAAATTGTAATGTACTATATATGCGCTGGAGCACAACCCCCAAGCACAACAAACATCTCTCAATAAATCTCTCATGAGTTATTCACATTTCAGGCAAGTAAATGAATTTAATGTTCATTGTAGCAGCACAAATATTTCTCCCTTCTATTATTGATGCTCTGAAAGGTGCACCACTTTCCCAGATGAACATTTATGTCTAATCATTTCAGAGCCATTTCAGCATGATCATTTCCATTTTTTTTTATGTTATGCTACATGGTGTGCCTCAATTTGTAATGATTAAATCAGCTATAATAAGCACTTTTTTTTTTTTTGCAGTCGTAGCTACTTTGACAACCAATTATACTAAATTTACACACTAGAAATAAGTCCATTTATACCACTCTGACAAACGGCAAACTGAGAAAACACAATTAGTAAGTACCTAGGGAGGCTTTATCAAGATAGTGCAAAGAGCAATGTTGTGTATCAATATTCCAACATAGGTTTAAGCTTTTTCACGTGTAATCAGAACAAAAAAGACTTATTAGATTGGCTGCTATGGATATACCATTTTGGATGTAGCCTTCTCATTAAACGTTTTCCTTCATTTTAACTTTTTTTTTTTTTTCCTTTCTAGTCATCCAGGTCATGGTATAGCCAGTATATTATAGCCACATTCAATTGAACTTATTTTGTAATGTTGAAGATGTTTTGGGTGATTTTCCTGACACTCAGAACTAAATAAGTGGCTTGGAAAACATCTTCAGCATTACACAAGTCTATCCGAATTTGACCAACTACTACTAGATAAAGTAAGGCTAGGTTATAAAAACTGGTAAATAAAAATGGACTGCTTATCCTATGGCAATCAACAACTGCAAACTGATTTTTTTTTTTTGGAGAAGGTTCTGATTGACTGTCAAAAGCACTCCTTTGTCCTGTACTTGGTGAATAGAGTGTTTGTCCAGCTTAAGCATGTCTAGAAAAAAACAAAAAAAAAAAAAAAAACAAAACAGGTTTGCTACCGTAGCCAAAGTTTTAGCACAGCTGAGAGGTTTTCTTTTTCGCACCACACATGCTGCAGTAGGGGTGATATTCCCTAAAAGCTTCATGTCCAGTTTTGTTTAGATACTGTAATTTCCTCTGAATTTCTTACCCAAATCTAGATCTCAAGAAACAAACCATTAAATTGGATGTTTTCCCCTTTCAAAAATTGCACCTACTGATATATAGTTTAGACACTGACTAAGAACAAAAGTAAACCCCACACTTTCAGGACCTGCACTTAGACTCAGAGTGGCATTTTTAATAGAGTATATCAATATTAACTGCTCTGATAATATATCAGACTAGGTCTTTACTTCATTGATAAACATAGTTTTGTAGGTTATGCTGCTGAAAACAGGCACACTTGCATAACATAAATCAAAAGTAGTCTTAATATAAGGATGCAATCCCGAGAGAGAGAGAGAGAGAGAGAGAGAGAAGGTATAGGAGAGAGAGAGAAGGTATAGGGAGAGAGACAGAGGGGGGAGAGGTATAGGGGAGAGAAATAGAGGATAGAGGGGGGGGAGAGAGAAGGTAGGTATAGAGAGAGAGAGACGGGGGGGGGGTATAGGAGAGAGAGACAGGGGGGAGAGGTATAGGAGAGAGAGACAGGGGGGTGTATAGGGGAGAGAGAGGTATAGAAGAGAGATAGAGAGGGGGAGATAGGGTTATAGGGGAGAGAAAGAGAAAGAGGTATAGGAGACAGAGAGAGAGAAAAGAGAGAGAGAGATACAGGAGACAAAAGGGAGGGAAGGAGGGAGAGAGAGGACCAGGCGAGAGAGAGAGAGAGAGAGGAGAGAGAGAGGTATAGAAGAGAGAGTGGGGGGTATAGAAGAGAGGTATAGGAGGGAGAAAGAGAGAGAGATGCATCATTTTATCCCCTGCCCAAACTTTAGCAAGTCCTTATCTGGATTATGCAGTTCAGTTTTGGGCACCACTTCACAAAAAATGATATCAGAGAACTAGAGAAAGTGAAGAGAAGGGCAACCAAACTGACAGGAGAAATAAAGGAACTGAATTTATTTTTTCTTGAGAAGAGGGGATTAAGGTGGATATGATCACCATGTATAAATACATAAATGCCCCATATAGTGAACCCTGCAGTTATTCACTTTAGGGTTCCTACAAAGGATAAGGGAGCACTGTTTACATATGGAGGAAAATAGATTTAACATCCGCATATGTAAAGCTTTTTCACAATAACAACTTTCTTGTGAACTACTTAAAGCCAGTTCAATTGATTGTTTTTAAAAAAAAAGCTAAACAGTTAATATAACTGGATATCATCATTTATAAATGACACAACTAGAGATTGTTATTGCAGTAATTATATCCAATTGTCCTAGGGATCAGGAAGAATTTTTTCCCAAGTTGGAGCAAATGTATCCATGCTGTAAGGGTGTTTTTTGCCTTCCCCAGGAACAAGTGTTGGTATAGGGTTCTGTATAAGGAGTTTTTCAATTAATTTTTTCTATTGGTTGAATTAGATGGACTTATGCTTTTTATAACTCTGTAACTACTATATGCTAATAGCAATTTAAAATGATCTTATTTCATTAAAATTCGTAATTAAAATTATTGCACTTGACACTTTCTAATTGAAAGAATCACTTTAGTTGCTAATGAAATATGAAAAAACATTCTTGTAACATTTTAGCAGCTTTCATAGAATGTCCCCCCTTTTTCCCAGTTTTAAACCCCTTGCTAACATGAAATTAGATCAATTAATGTTTGCCGAGTTTGCTTATATAATCAGGTATTCCAGGATTACAACCTTTAATTTAAACCTGAATCATGTCATCCTTAGCGCTCAGCATACGGTGGATGTTCAAAAGAGGTCTTACTAATTACGCTCCCTGGTAGAAATGTGGAAAGGTGTCTTGTAACTTCTGATAAAACGTACCTGAGAAAGGGACTGTCTGAGACGTGCGAGCTGTGTATTGTGGCTGCTGTAATCCTGATCAGAAACCATCTGCTTCATCTTTTCCTTCTCAATAGCAATTGTGTTGTAGGCGGATTTCAGCAGAGAATGGACTGGGAAAAAAAGCAAAAATTTCAGTAAGACATCAAAGATCTGACTCTGCTACAACTAGGGAGTGATACACACATAACATTATGCACACTTTTCCCTGCCTTTGTTGGATAAAAACTTGCTTAATGCTACAGCCTCTGCATATTCAGATCTAACAAAGATGACCTACGGCTCTCCAGCTGTTGTGGAATGACGAGCCTCATCATGCTTTTCAAGTAAAAATATGTAAGGCACGCTTGGAGAGCCAAACTTAGGACAAACCTAACAAATAATAAAAAAATGAAAACTATAAAATACATTTAAAATATTGTACAAGCTGTATAGATAATAGACACAGTGAGCAGATGCAATCACTAAAAATTCATATAAGCTTTAGCCATGTTAATGTAATTTCCAATGTTTTCAATCTGCAATACAATTTTAATTAAAAGAATAACTGGTGATCCAGCTGTGAAGGTCCTTAATCAAGTACTTTCTGTGATGAAGTAACACTTGTCTCCTAACTGTGCTCCTCCATTGTCACTTTGTCACATACACTGCTGGAGGAGACTATAAGTAGCCATACTGGCACACATTGCTCAGCCATTGTTACAATCAATAAAACGGTTCCTGAGCAAGAAAGTGCAACTCATGCTAGAGCCAAGGCATATAGACAAGATGAGGCTGGAGGACGTTAGCAGCCGAGAGTTGCAACAGTAGATTAAAAAAATGAGAAAAAGAATTTCTATTAAAAAAAACAACAATTGTTTGTGATTCACAGGGCTATAATCAAATTAAAGGTCAACCAGATAGAATTAGGTATACTTTAAAAGGACAATGTAATCTTTAGCCAAGATGTTCTTTAAAAAAAAAAAAAAAATCCCCCCTACCCCTCTGACTTCAGCTCACCTGGGATAATACATACCTTCATCCCTTAATAAAGCAATCTTGCCTCCAACAAAGTCCCAGTAGTTGACTGATCTTCATATTGCGCATGCACGTCTTGACCCCATTAATTCCTTTGGGCAGGCCATACTGCAAGTTACTGCAGAAGGCCCCTTAAGTACAAGGTTACCCATTGGAATGAATATGGCTGTGGCGTGGATGAGCAGTATGAAGAGGAGCTGACCAAGATCACTGGATTGGGAAAATAAAGTACAGTATTTTCTGGCATATAAACTATTTTTTATACTTAAAAATATACCCCAAAAATTGGAGGTCGTCTTATACGCGGGGTATAAAATGTGAACCTTGAGTTTGTTTGGGTCAAGCTGGCTGGATGTGTGGTAATACTGTACATACATTATACCGTGCTGAGCCAAGCTGGCTCAAAACAAATGTCCCTATTACAGATTAATCTGTCAGCCCGCTGGATGTGCGGTATATACAGTATACTACGATGAGCCAAGTGGTTTCAAAACGTACCGGTACGTCCCTACTGTAATCAGCTTGCTGGATGCGTGTATGTAAGGTAGCTGCGGCTACATACAGTATACACTGGGCCAATCACGGCGAGTGATGTATTCTACTAATGAATGCAAAGCCTGTTCGGATTGGCTGAGTCAGAGAGGTGGGCTGATGATGTCACAACCTCAGCCAATCCGAGCAGGCTTTGTATTCATTAGTAGAATACATCGCTCACCGTGATTGGCCCAGCGTATACTGTATGTAGCCTCAGCTACTGTGCATACACACATCCAGCGGTCTGATTACCGTAGGGATGTACCGGTACATTTTGAAACAGCTTGGCTCAGAAAACTGTATATACCACAGTGATATATACTCAGTATACTGTATATACCACACATCCAGGGGGCTGACAGATTAATCTGTCATAGGGACATTTGTTTTGAGCCAGCTGGGCTCAGCGCGGTATACTGTATGTGCTTTACTGCACATCCAGCGGGCTGTATATATACTGTATACTGTATGTAGCCGAAGCTACTGTATTACCGCATATCCAGCGGTTACCATCTGATTTGGAATTTGAGCCATATGATGACTGTCTTACAAATGTATCACAAGATGTCATTCATGAACTTATGATGTCAGAGGATGAACATGAGGATTTTGAAGGATTTTAAGTACCGGTAAGTCAGAACCATTTCAATTAAAAAATCAAATGTTTTTAAATGGTGTTGCCTCGGAAGGGGGGTAGTCTTATACGGCGAGTATAGCCTAAAACCTATGTTTTAACTGGAAAATTAGTGGTTCGTCTTATACACCCAGTCGCCTTATACACCAGAAAATAAGGTAAATATTATTCCAGGTAGGCTGTACTCAGTGAGTGTGGGGATTTACTAAACAAAAGGTTAAATTTTCCCCTAAAAGGTCAGCCCACCTAAAACTCATGCTGCAATTTTTAGTAAATGGTATAAAAAAAACAAACTTCCTAAGCCTAGTATTATGTAAGTGATAAAAGTGTACCTAAAATCAGGAAAAAAAATTAAAATTCATTTATTGCAGTTTAGCAGTTCTTAGGTCTGGTGAATTGATTTTTTTTTTAAATTTGCTTCTTTCCCTTATTCTCAATTGGTAATCATTCCTGTAACACCCTTCCTGCCCCAGGGTAAAGTCGATCATTCATCATTACTGTATATATGGAAAAGCAGCACTGTCACCCCAGGACAAGAAGTGTGCTAGGACTATAGAAGGCTCGTCACATGTCAGTAACAACCCATGCAATCCATACATACAAAGAAAGCAAAAAAAAAAAAAAAAGTTCTTAAATTACATGTGTAATAAAATGGAATGCCACTATTGAACACGCTAACTGAAACTTAATTAATACTTTGTACAAAATCCTTTTTGGTAATGACAGCTTCAAGACGCCTCCTGTATGGAGAAACTAGTTGAAAGCATTGCTCAGGTATGATTTTGGCCCATTCTTCCACACAGTTTTCAAATCTTGAAGGTTCCATGGGCCTCTTCTATGAACTCTGATCTTTAGTTCTTTTCATAGATTTTCTATTGGATTCAAGTCAGGTGACTGGCTGGGCCATACTAGCAGCTTTATTTTCCCTCTTTAAAACCAACTGAGAGTTTCCTTGGCTTTGTGTTTGGAATCATTGTCCTGCTGAAATGTCCACCCTCGTTTCATCTTCATCATCCTTTTTTATCAAGAATGTCTTGGTACAGTTTTCCTTTCACTCTTTCTTCAATGATATGAAGTTTGCCAGTACTGTATGCTGAAAAACAGCCCCGCTCCATGATGTTCCCACCATCAAACTTCACAGTTGGTATGGCGTTTTTGGGATGATGTGCAGTGCCATTTGACCTCCAAAACATGGTGTATATTATGGCATCCAAAGAGATCAATTTTGGTCTCATCTGACCAGATACATCGTCCCAGTATTTCACAGGCTTGTCTGAATGGTGCGCAGCAAACTCTAAATGAGCTTCAGCATGCTTTTTCTTCAGCAATGGAGTCGAGAAGTGACCATGCATACAGGCCATGGTGGTTGAATGCATTACTTATTGTTTTCTTTAAAACAATTGTACCTGCAAAGTCCAGGTCCTTCTGAAGCTCTCCACAAGTGCTCCTTGGCTCTTGGACAATTCTTTTGATAATTCATTTGACTCCTCTGTCAGAAATCATGTGAGGAGCACCTGGTTGTGGCCAATTTATGGTGAAATGATGTTTTTTCCACTTTTGGATAATGGCCCCAACAGTGCTCACTAGAACATTCAGAAGTTTAGAAATCCTTCTGTAACCAATGCCATCAGTATGTTTTGCAAAAATAAGATTGCAAAGGTCTTGAGAGAGCTCTTTGCTTTTACCCATCATGAGATGTTTCCAGTGTGACACCTTGGTAGGAGACACCTTTTTATAGGCCATCAGTTGAGACTAAACCTGCTGATATTAATTTGCATTCTAATTACTGATAGATTTCAGCTGATGTCTTGGCTTTTCATGCCTTTTGGCACCTCCCTTTCTTCATGTGTTCAATATTTTTTTCCTGTGTCATTCCATTTTATTACACAATTTAATTTCTGAACTTATTTGTTATGGTCTCTTTGTATGTATGGATTGCATGGGTTGTTACCGACGTGGTGAAAATATCATGTCAATAGCACCTTTAGAAATATATTTACCTAGAAAAGTGGTGACGTGTTCAATACTTATTTTACCTGCTGTATATATATTTTTTGGAGCCTGTAAAGCATTGCATCCACAATCAGTAGATCATGGTTGCAGTGTCAGGCTCCTGCAGACAGTCTGTGAAGATGTTTGCCCGTATCTCTAATACAGGCAGGCAGTTACTGAATGATAGGAAGATCAATGAACTACCTAGAGTGCACATCAGCGCCCTGGTAGTTCATTGAGAACTACAAGCCATCAGCTGCAAAAAGATGATGGTACTTGTAGTTCATTTATTACAGAACACTGTGAATGATGTGGTTGTGTGGCCTGCTTTTTGAACTGTGACAGCAAGTGTGGGGAGAAGATCCCCGCCCACTGTCACAGGGAGGCTCCCACACTTTGTCAACTCCCCAAAAAGAATGATTCTAGTAGGTATAAAGTCTCTTTAAAGCCCAACTGAACCTTCTGCTTAATCAGTACATTCCAGATACATCAATACAACAGGTGTACAAAGTCTTACAGTTTGCTTTCTAAAGCAGCCACAGCCTGAGTAGGAAAGCCTGCCAGCAGCTGCAGAACGGGACCCTTGCCCTCTGTGGGGGTGTTCTCATTTTAGAGGTCTGACATGCCCCCTACTGGGTAGGATGTATAGCTCTGCAATAAACCCAGATGGGCCATGTCAGATTTCTATAGAGATCTCACAGCTAGCACACAAAAAACAAAACAAGTGTCCAATTCTGAAGCATGCTGGCAGATACAGGGTTTTCTATTCAGGCTGTGACTGCGGTTTATAGAACTATAAGACTTTGCACACCTTTTGTTTTTGATACATCTGAAATATATTTAGCAAATTTACACTAAAAGTTCATTTGATTTGAGATTTAAGCATTTTGTTTTAGTAAAAATGAATCTGTATTTAATAGGGGTCTGTCTACACTTACACTTCAAGTTTCCACTCCTCTTACTGGCCTATGCAGTATGTTGAGAAATGAATGTTTCATAGTTAGTAAGGTTAAATAAAGACACCAGTCCCTCCAGTTTAACTTCAGAAATAATAACAGGCTTCTTGCCCATTCAGGATGCACAAGGTTGGTGAAATGCCAACCCCAACCACTGTATACAAACTTCTTCAGCAATTCCCTGCCATTCTGTCATCTGTTGCAACCACCACCAAGACACACAGGGGAAAGGTTACTAAAACTGGTGCAATTAGAATCTGGTACAGTCATGCACAGTAACCAATAAGCTTCTAAGTTGAGCTTGTTCAGTTAGATTTTGGCAATAAAACCTGGAAATGGATTGGTTTCTATGCAGAGCTGCACCAGAATTTTCACCATCGACTTAGTAAATAACCCCCACAGTGTCAAAGCATAAGGGTAGCAGTGATACCACCACCTTGGTGACAGTGCTTGGGCCTATCAATCGGCACTCTGCTAAGGGAAGCAGTCACATACTCCCCCATCCACAGAAGCATCAGGGTTTTTACATGTGTCCACAGAGAAAAGAGGGATAGGGACTAGCTGGAGAAGTGAGCAGAAGGTGGTCAAGATGTGTGCTTTGCAACAACTCTGACAATTCACCCTAAATGGGCAAGGTGACAAGGTCCATTTTAGCACTGTATGACATTGGTCTTGAAACATATCTATGGACAACCGCAGATTGGGTTTCTCTGAAATGTCTGCAAAAGGTATTCCTTTAATAGTTTTATAAAGCCAAATTATATAAACAATACCTTTCTGTGCTAATAAGCAGAACTCTTCCTGCAGCTTGGTATAGTCAGATGCAAATTCCAGGGCATCAGCTACATGACTTGGGGGATTCTGGAACTCCACATCGGCATAGAGGTTAGGGTTAGAGGCGTGCAGACGGACCGGAGACATTGAAGCGCTAGAGGTACCTATAAGAAAAGTCTGTTATAATTGTGCATTAATCGAATCCACTGTATAACCCCACAAAAACCTGCCCAGTCCTTACGTCCTATGTGATCTGATTAAATACTTTTCTGCTTCTCTAACCTGAAAAGTATAAACCACACAGGAGAAAGAAACCTGTTTATATGTAAGCAGATTAGTATTGATTCTGACCCCAAGTGACAGAATACACTTTTCACGTGTATGCTTCATTTTTCTAGGGATTAAAGCCAACTACCTAATATAATGCCCAACCTTATAATATATATATAAAAAAAAAAGCTGGTTATGGTTACTGAACTGATGTGCGAACTATATCTGACCAATATAATCTCTTGTCTAACCCAGCCAGAGAGAAAGATGAGTGAGACAATAAGTCAAAGAGGTTATACACTGAAGATTTTATACTCCAGGACAAGTAATAAAACAGCAAACCAACATACTATACTTGCTTAGTGTCCAGCAAACGATTTATGATGGCGTGCAATTATGGTATAAAAGGAAGATTTTTTTTAAACCAGTGGTCTAAAAATAGCGGACCTTTGCTTGCCTTTATCTGGCGCTTGGGGCACTATTCCTCCATCTGAGGCCAATTATTGGGCATTTTCTACACCCACTGGCCAGAGTCTGGCCCCCTAAATCCTGAAGGACACTAAATTGGCCTTCTGTTTAGAAAATTTGGAGACCCCTGTTTTAAACTGAACTAGCTTTGAAATACTTACAAAGAGCATTTTGACTATTATACTAGTTAATCAAGTCTTGTACACTACAAGTGATATCATTTTCTTTTAATCCTGACTGCCAAGGGGACATCATAAAATAAATGACCTGCACACTGTAGCATGCTGGGAGTAGCTGAATTTCAATACATCGATGGCCGTTCTAGTTTGTGAGAAGTCAATTTAATGATCATGGACAGGCTTGTTGGAAAATGTTTGCTTGATCAGCACTGCAGCTAATCAGGTGCAGTGCTGATTAGTGCATTCAGACAGCACAGGAGTCAATACAATACAATAACACAGTGATTCATCTAGACGCCTCGCTTGTGTGGATGGAGAATCTGTTAGTTTTTTGTTCGTATGACCAGCTTTATGTAAAGAGTAAGGATGGCTACATGGATTAGAAAAAAATTCAAACAGATTCCTACATCTACGTTATACAGTGTGGGCTATGGTATTCTGATTGCTATAGGCGGCAGCTGTCAGAATAACCAAAGAGCTGTTTGGCCAGCAATTATTCACAATGCTTATTTGATTTTTCAGTCAAAGGATATTGGATGTGAGGGGGCCAGCAGGGCCACCCATGAAGCCAATTTCAGCCAGTTCATCAAAAACTGACAGAAATGCACACAGCATACGGCCAGTTTAAGAAGGTAGTGGGTGCAAAACTCTAAATAGAGAAGCCATGCCACAAGATTCAGAGGGAAAAATCAGGCTCTCCCTTGAGAATGAAATGTAGTCTTCATTTATTCATAACCGCAGCATTAAAAGCAGGTTATAAATAAACCAAGACTTTTTTTTTCTTCAAAAATGGAGAGCACGATTCTCTCAACGTCTGGTGCTGCCTCCCTATGTAAGATTGGCGCACTCACTACCTTTCTACTCTACTCATTTTTGCTCTTTTGGAGAGCATTATCCAAACACTTACTGATCCACATCACTGGGACAGGATGTGATATTAACCACATAACCTCTGTGTGAGGTCCCGATCATGTGATCACTGATTGGCCAATCAGTGAACACATGAATAGTAGTAAGCAAGAGGTCACTTATGACATCCTTGCTTACTACGTGTGAAATCTGTGAATGATCACAGAGATCACATGGTAAGGCTATTCATAACAAGAATGCAGCCAGAAATGATTGCTTTTACAGCATTTATGGGTGTAAAAGCAATCAGTGTAAAAAAAAAAAAAATCTTCATCACCCCCCAAAAGTAGCACAATGTCACTATGGTGACACTGTACCCCTAGAGTGACAGTATGTTAAAAAAAAAAACAAATATATATATATATATATAAAAAAAAAGTAAACAAAAATTTTGAAAAATTAGAATTTTTGGTTATAAACTAATTTTGGTTATTTTTTTTTCACTAAAAAGATAGCTGAGTACATTTTGGCCAAGATTTATGAAGAAAGATTATTTATTTGCAAAATTTTATAAGAAAAACACTTTTTTTCAAAATTTTTGGACTTTCATTTATATAGCAAAAAAATAAAAATCCCAGTGGTGAGTAAATACCACCAAAATAAAGTTTTATCTGTCTCAAAAAAATGATACAAAATTCATATGGGTACAGTGTTGCATGACTGCACAATTGTCATTCAAAGCGTGATAGCGCTGAAAGCTGAAAATTGGCCTGGGCACTAAGGGAGTGAAAGTGTCTGGACTTGAAGTGGTTAAACCTCTCCAACAGAGATTCATACATTTTATAGCATGGACAGAGTGAGAACTGGTCAGATTTGCCATCATTGTCCCACTTGGTCAGATTTTCCTGTCCTTGTGAAAACCTGTCACAGTGCAATGAATGTGGAAGGTGGGACTGAGACAATGTGAGAAAAAAAATGTACTCAGTGTGAATGTATATGGTAATAAAAACCCGAGAGAGGTTTTTAACTTACTTATTATAACTAGAACAAAGCTTTGGTTGAAATTGAGCTTTGATATTGCAGGCTACAGCTAAATACAACCTGATTAGACTTGGATAACCTTAATCCTTTGATTGTCTATAATTAGCTACTGTACTAATGCAGTAACACCCTGGCTCCATGCACAATGGGCTTAAAAAAAAATGCCAGTTTCATTGGCAAAAAAAAAAATGCTCATGTAAATCATTTAGGAGTGTTTAGGGCTTTTTTCCTGCCAGAAAACTCCAATGGAAAATGCTAAAAACAGAAAGATTTTTTTTCCTGCCTCTAAACGTTGAGCTTAAGTCCTCATGCACACTGGACGTTTTTACAGCTGTTTTTGGCTTTTGACATTTTTTCTCTACAGCTAGTAAACCCCCCAGCATGTTATCCCATGTGTCCATGCACACAGACTGTAATCAACGTTTTTTTTTTTGGCTGGGATGTTTTTTGGCTGGAGAAAAAACCCAGGAATAGTGGTTTTCTAGAGGAGTTTTTTAGCTGTACAAATGCTTTAATGCTGCAAAATGTGGTAAAATGCCGCAAACCAGCATTTTTTTACTTTTTTTTCTTCGTAAAAAAAACCGCAAACGTGGAAAAACACAACTAAATGCAGCAAAACGCTGTTAAATGCTAATGCGATAATGCTAAAAAAAAAAAAAAAAAATCAGAAAAACTAATGTTTTTACACAGCTAACGTTAAACAGCGTTATCGAAAAACCAAGTGTGCATGGAGCCTAAAAAGGTAGTGAAAGGCTCAAGGTTTTTTACCTTCATGCATGCTACTCATGAAGGTAAAAAATATTCTCTTCTCTTCCCCCCCCCCCCCCCCCAAGCCCCCTCTCTGTCCCTCCCTGTCAGTCACAGCCAGTGTGCCAATGAGAAGAGAGAGGGGGGAGGGTCAAGCTGTGGCTCTGTGTGTGAATGGACAGGCGGAGCAGTAAGAGGCCCCATAGCAAGCTGCTTACTGTGGGGGCACCTGACAGGAGGGAGGTGCCAGGAGCACCGGCGGGGGACCAGAGAAGAGGAGGATCTGGACTGCTTTGTGCAAAACCACTGCAGAGAGCGGGTAAGTATGATGTGTTTATTATTTAAATAAATAAAAAAGTTTTTAATATCACTTTAAAATATGCACCTAAATGTCTTAATGTGCACTGCCACATAAGATAACATTGAGCTGCTTCTACAGGCAAAACACCTGTAGAAGTGGAGTTTTATTTTTTTGTCTTATGTCCGTGTGCATGGAGGCTCAATGTTTTCTGAGATCTATATTAGGATGTTTATATATAATTGAGAATTAATGGCCTTACATTTTCTTTTAACTGGGGGAGGTTGTCAGGAGGTAAACATATACGTACATTGACAATAAATGAGTATATTGGGCTATAGATATTATAGTCCATGCAACATTTTTTGGAAAATGCTTTATTGGCATTAGCCGTAAAAGACTTGTCATGGGCTGTATGTGTTGCATCTTCCTGTATTCTCACTGTATGTTGTCATTATCTATATATTCATAGAGTGCTGGTTATTATAATCTTTACATCTGGAGTTTTTATAACTCCACATGCTGAACAAATATACAAGGCATCTCCTCCTTTCAGATGAAATGGACACGCTTGGTATCAAGGACACATAGGGCAGCAAAAGAGCTCTCCTGGGGACCCTGGCATGCCCTCTGTAATCTTATTGACTGTTTCCAAGTAAAGGATGTTTCAGGCCATTTGAAAGAGCTGTTGTGCAGAATGTGAATGAGTCGAGAAGTCCTGGCACTTGCTAGGGAGCCAGTACAGCTCTGTAACACAGCACATGTTCAGTTATAAAAATAGGTGCAAGAAATTGCCGCCATATATCTAGGCTCCAAAACGTAATGACCTTTTATGGTGCAATATAATTATAGACATGATGTTAATTTGTCTTTCTTTTTTATAATGTTCATCAAAAATGTTAGAGTCACTTAAAATACTAGAACATTAAATGTGGTCATAGTTATATTTGTGTTTGGTCTGTTCAGTGCAGGACACGTTTCAATGCTCTGCTTCCATCAATGACTCCAAGTACTCATGTGTGCCAACAGACCATTTTCAACAAAAGCCCAACTATGCAAAGGAGGGAGAAAAATAAAAATGTACAAATGGGCATAGGATTGTGCAGATAACAGGGAATGATTTATTTTGTCTACATATACATAGGCGGTTTAAAAAAAAAAAAAAAAAAAAAAAAACCTTCTGTCTCAGCAATATAGTAAGGTGAAGCATTCTACTATTCAAAATTATCATGTAAAAAGACTTATACCCAAATTTCACAGTTGAAAATTCAATCACAAATCTTGTCTCAGTCTGTGTCAAATATAGGCTGTT